CCAGACCCTGTTTTTCTCCCCTTTTGCTGGCTGGTGCTGCCTGGGCTGCTGCTCCAACACCCTGGGCCCTGCTGTGTGGCCCAGCCAAGCCAAAACCCGTCCTGCAGCTGCCCAGATGTGTGCAGGGCCGGGGAACAGAAGCAGGGGGATGCCAGTACTCAATGCAGGCTTGTGGGAAACAGGAGGGGCTGGGTGGAGGGATGGGGGCCTGGGCTGCGGGAGCAGCTTCTACTGAATTTTCTAAAATGTTTTGTTACAAAGTGAAAATAAACCTGTGAAATTCCCAGGGGCGCTGTCGTGTCTGCAGTGGGCAGGCACTGGGCCCCATGGCCTGACTGCACCAAGCTCCCCAGAGGGGAATGCCAGCTGGGCACAGGCACCCGGTGTTGCTATGGCTTCATTTGTGCCGCGGCATCCTGGCTCCATTTTGGAGAAATCTCATTGGGGGCTTTTGTTGCCACCCCATTGTGTGTGAACATGGGCAGTGCCACCTCCCTGGTCCGCGCCAGGCACTCCGAGAGGAGCCAGCTGCCTCCCTTATCTCAGCGGGGCACGATCCTTTGCACTGTCAGTAACGTTCACTTCCCAGCCTCTCAGCACCGCAGCTGCAGGTTTCTGTTCAGCGTGCAGTCCCAAAGCGTGCCCTCTCTTCCAGCCCAGCTTCTCCGGCCGCCAGGTGGGACGGGGCTAGGCTGGCTCTGGTCACAATCCTGCTGTGCTGCGAGACCAGCCTGCATGAGGACACCATCGTCAGCTGCCTCTGGAAATCACTAGCACGCTGTGGCCCTGAGCGGGCTCTGCATTTCCTCTGCCTGGAAGTGTTTAAAGCTGCTGCAGACTGGCCTGCAGCAGGCCTGGGTACTCAGGGCCTTCCTTATGGGCCCAGAGCTCCAGATCAGCTTTACGCCTCATCTGGCATCTGTGGGGTGGGACATGGCCAGGCAGCATGGCCAGGCAGCCAGTGCTGAGTGGCAGATACTGCCTGGTGTCAGCAATGCGGGCCGACAATGAGCAGAGGGGAGATGGCTTCAGGCCAGGGGGTCTGTGCCCAGGTCTGGTGGAGAGGGGCAGCGACTGGATCTTGGCTTTCCTAGGAGCCCCAGCTCCTCATAGTTCCAGCTCCCTAGACCTGAACACTCCCTGCTAGGCAGCAGGCTGAGGGGCACCAGCTCTGCTGCACGCTACTGTGGGCCTGGTCACTGGCAGCCGGCACCCTGGCCGTTAACCCCTGGAGCATTGATTCCTGGGGGTGGGGCCTGCATGCTGCATGGGTGCCTTGGCCTGGATTTAGTGTAAGCATCACGGGTGCCCAGCTGAGGGGTGTCTCTCTGCTAGGGGGCTGGTGCCTGGGGGAGGGGGCTCTTGGGGGTTGCAGTAAGTGGGGGGCCCTGCAGTTTGGGTCTCTGGGCAGGCCTGAGCTTTGCCATATAGTGGAGGCTTCCTAGAGCAAAGCCGGGGGGCAGCTCCTGGACTCCTGCTGGCCCCTGCTGGGAGCCAGACTGGGCCATATCTCCTGGGTGTCTGGAGTCACTGGTGCAGCAGTCCGGACCAGAGGGAAGCCCTTCGAGCAGGTGTAAGGTGCTGCTGAAAGGCAGGTGGCCACCGGTGCAGTGATCCAAGGGCAGTAACTGGGGAGTAGCCAGGCCAAGCAGCAGCCATGGCCAACTCCTTGCTGCTACTAGACCAAGGTTAATTGCAGAAGCTGGGGCCACATGGGTCCTGGTCCTTGGGCTGGGAAGTGACAGTGACCGCTTGGCCAGCAGATCGCAGCGAAGAGCCTGGGCCGATGTGCACCCCCTGAGCTGCAGCCGGTCCCAGGCCAGGGCGTCCTGCAGCTAGAGCGGGCACCAGGGCCAAAGCCACCTACAGGAGCAGCCCCCAGGGCTTTGCTGGGAATTCAGGCCTGGGGGCTGGGGCTCCCCAGTTGGGAGCAGTTGCAGTGCTGGGAGGGGGGTAGATTCACCTTCCCAGCTGCTGGATGCAGGCTGCAGGTCCCATGGGAGCTGCAGCCAAGTGGGCACAGCGGAAGGGAAAGAGTCCCACACAGCATGGATCTGCTGGGAGCTGATCCTGCACCACATGGCGGGGGAGAGAGAAGGGCATGAGCAGGCACAGAGCCTGCCGAGCACAGGAGCTAGGCCCCAGTGCAGCACAGAGGATGGAGTTGGAGCCTCCTCTGACCTACCGCTACCAGGCACCTCCCCCTGAGTGAGTTGGGGGGGCCAGGCCCAACCCCAGTTTCCTACATGCTGGAGCCCACGAGGGGAAGGGAACCACGCAGGGCTCAGGGGGCACACAGCTTGGCAGGGGCTGCACCCACCTTTGGTGGGACAGGACTCATGGGCTGAGGGAAAACAAGCCAACCCCTGCCCCAGCAGCAGCGGCTCCGCAGGCTGCCCAGAGCAGGGGCAGCAGCTCCTGAGCACCTTGCGTTCTCCTGCAGGAGCCGGCCTGGGCTGAGATGGGGCCAGTGGAGCCACAGGCCCACTCTTGTTATTCTCAAACACCTCCCTGGGAGGAGGCTGAGCCGGGGGCTGATCAGAGAGTTGGCCGAGAGTGACCGGCAGCCCGGCCAGTGAAAGCTTTTGTTCTGGCAGGATGGGCAGACCCCGCCCCAGCCGGGCAGCCACAAGCAGGTTTTTTTAAAATAAAAAATAACAAAATCCCAGTGCCCAGGTCTCCCCGTGCCAGCCCCTCCCCCCTGCAGCTCTCACCCTCAGCAATAACTTAACAATCAGTAGCATCTAGGGTTCTATTGCTTCCACCCTGGCCGCAGCTGGGATGTGGGGGCTTCATTGCAGTGATGGTTTGCCTGGAGGGAGGTGCAAACAGCAGCTCAGCCAGGAATGGGGGGTGGGGGTGCCCGGGAGGTGGGGGG